CCTGGGATCTTGTTAATGTAAACTCAGATTCACTTGCATCTGAGTTGGGACCTGAGATTCTGTATCTGTCACATCGTCTCTGTTCAAGCTGATGGTTTGTGAACACAAGGCCATTGACACTACCTCTCTGTGCACTACCTGGTATTATTTTAGGAGAATGATCACAGATGCACATTCTAAATCTACTAAAGTACAGACTCCCAAGGATCTGAGGCTGTGGTCTAATACAGCTTAACATTCTCTGTTGTAGCTGAGGTGAGACTGGGTTCAGCAGGCCTTGATGGATCTTCTGAGCTCCCTGATCAATGTGCAAGGAGTGGGTGGGCTCTAGCTGCTGCAAAATCAACCTATTTCACAGCGTAGGGTGGCATTGGAGTCAGAGCACGGCAACCATCCCCTAGAAGAGAAGGTGCCAGGATCTTACAATCCACAATTCCAAGGAGTTCATCAAGATAAGAACTCAGCTAGGAATGGAAGTACATGAGTGTAATTCTAGCCCTCGGGAGACTGAGGCAGGAAGATAAACATGAGTTTGAGGCTGGCCTAGATTACATAGTCAGAACCTAGCTGGAAAACAAAACAACAACAACAAAAGCAGGCCTGCTAGTATATTTTATAATCCTAGCCCTGTGGTAGGCTGAGGCAGGAGGATTGCAAGTCCAGCCTAAGAAAGTAATTTAGCAAAAGACTGTCTTAAAAAATAAAGTAGGAGGGAATGTTTCTTAGTACAAAAAGTATAGGCTCAATTCACAATATAGTATTTTTTTAAAAAGATAAAAATTTGGTACTGAATGGAAGGCATCTGCTATGTTTTAGATCTTAAATGGCCCCCAAAGCCTCATATGTTGAAGACTCGTTCCCAAGGATGATGCCACTGGGAGACAGGGAAAATTTGGGGAGGTGGAATCTTGCAGAAGAAAGTGAGTTTATTCGGGATGTGCTTTAAAGGAGACATTTGGACTCCAGCTCTCTCTGTCTGTCTGGTTGTCTCTTTCTCTTTCCTTCCACGCCACCATGCCATGTTTTGCTCCATGCCATGTTCCCCATCATAATGTGCTGCTTCACCTTCATCCCAGGCCCAAAGTGACTGGGCCAAGCCACCACGGACTGAAGTCTCGGAAACTAGGAGTTCAAGAAAATATTTTCTTCTTTTAAAATTTTATCTCAATATTTTGTGTCAGTGATAGAAAGCTAACACAGTGTCAAGGCCCAGTTAATAGCAGAAAAAAGGTAGGTGCAACAAAGCTTTTACACTTCTACCAGGGTACAAGAAAGAGCTGAGCTTTCACTGTGGTATCATAGATGAGAAAAATATTCTTGCATCTTGCCACATTCCAGTTATACCCAAAATATTATGCATACAACAGCTAAGTGATCTTTTAGGAATATAAATCTGATTCCTTCATTTCTCTGCTTAGTGAAGGTTCTTAGGGTTTTCCTTTCCTCTCAGAATAAAACACCAGTTCTAAGAGACCTCGTGTCCTGCCCCTGCCAGCTCCCCCACATCGGCTCATCGCTGTCCTCCACGCTCATGAAGCCTGGTAATTCTGGCTTCCTATTTTCAAGCATTCTGAAGTTACTGCCATTCTAGGGCTTTTCAAATAGCTGGTTCTCTTCAAGTGTCATCACTGCTCTACCCTTGAAGAAAAAGCAAGGTTTAAACACAAAGCAACTCCATAATGAGGTATAACCTTTGCTTCTGTGGGTTTGACAAGGATTTATTTGTCCCTTTCTTCTTATCCAGTTGGAGCCTAGAACTGCCTGACACCTCACAAAAAGAGAACTGGAGTCCACAGACAGAATGGGACTTAGTCAAAGCCATTCACTCTGGGGAGGGGTGCTAACTGTCCAGTGATGGCTCCAGAGGCTGTTCACTGGGCTCACAGGAAGCGAATACATAGTGTGTATGTGTTGGGTTTAAAACATTTACAGTTTCATTTATAAAAATCCTTTTTATTTTATTATTATTATTTTTTTTTTACTTTGGACTTTGCTGAGTCCAACATTGTACACAGGAGAGCACAGACAATTTTGGATGTTTCTTTCATTTGTAATTTACAGATTTCTTTCTTAAAATTACAACTAGAACCTAATTTTAAAAATCAAATTAGTTTCATCTAATTAAATTTGGAAATTGCCTCATAAACACATATTTTGTTATAAACGCTTTTAAAAGTAAAGTCTCCTGCTTATAATCTGCAGCAAGATTGGTTTGAGCTCAGCTTGGAGACAACTTACCATCTCTCTGCTTAGAAGAAAATATTCTTCTATCAATTGTTAAAACTTTCTTTAAGAGTTCTCTTAATGCCCATGCAAATCACCCAGGGATTTTGTTAAACTGAAAGTTCTGATTTGGGAAGTTTGAGTGGAGCCTGGGATGCTGTATTTCTAACAATGCCTGTGTGGTGCAGACTTACACCCAGGGCTGCAGCCTCTGAATTCAGGAGAATTCAGAGCATTTTCCCAGGGCATTTTCCATTCTGCCTGTCTGACTTTTTCATTTCACGTCTCCACCCTTAACTTCCTCAATTTTTATGTAATGATAACATCTAAAATTTATGTTGTTTCTAAATGCCAAACATTGAGCTAAACACATATTTAACATGATCCTCACAGTAACCCTACAAGGTTAGTGTTATTATTACCCTGATCTTCTAGATGAGAACCTGAAGGTTCTAAGTGGTTGTTTGAAGCACCAGAAGTCACACAGCAGGTAATTTTCAGAGTTGGGATTCAGACCTCTCTATATGATCTTAAAAAGTCAACATTTTTAGTTCCTTGGGTTTCATTATCTTGTGATATACATGATTAAAGTCATGCGCAAAATATAGTATTTAAACCCAAAAATGTATTGCTTCCTTCAGAGCATCTCCAAAGATTGGCTTAAATTTTCAATTAACAATAAAAAAGTCAGCTACAATTTTCTGGCTATCATTCTCTGTAATTATAGACCAAGGAGCAGCCAAGAAGCTACTTAAAGATCTTACCATAGTTGTCTCCGTAGAGTCCATCTAGGAAATGCCAGCATCTTTAGCAGCAGGTTTTGAAAATGCACAAAGCACTGGGTTTGTGCCTCTCTAATTTGTTCCCACCATTGTACCTGGAGCTCTAGAGAAGGTACCACATAATGATACCTCCAGTTCAAGAGCTATTGCTCAGTGTCTAACTCTCAGTTGGGTTTGCACCTTTTCATTTCCACCTATTTCTTTATTCTTATTTTGGAATAGTAATCAGATGGGTCCAGTGCATGAGAGAAGTATATTACTCTCAATGAAGAAGGCTTTGAAGACAAGTGACCCCACCTCCTACATGGCGCAGCCCAGTGCTTTCTAAGTGTGGGTATTTAAAGGACCAAATTGTCATTATTTCAAGGCAAAATGAAAACAAAGGCAATCGGCATGATTATTCATGAAGCTAAGTTTATTTAATTTGAAAGATTGCATTTTATTCTGAAATTATGTCCTCTCTATATTTTCTGGAATTGTATCATTTATAAAAGCTTAATAATAATCACAAAGTCACCTAATCTTTATGAGTGTAGATTCCAAAATCCTCCAATGTGTGGCATTGAGATTATTCTATAATAATGCCATCACTTCCGAAATCATGAGTACTTTCCTTGTGCTAGAGAACAGATCTCTTATGGGTATGTGTATGCATGTAATTGTGACTTCTACTTCACAAGTAATAGCAGGTAGCTTTGGAATGAGTAGACTTTGATTCAGTTACATTTCCAGGCCCACTCTTCCCTGCAAGGCTTTGGCCACAGTCTAGATGTATCTCATCTCTTATAACAAACCAGAAAAGGAGCTTGTTCTTGTGGGACAGGGGGGCTTATTTATATTTCTTTCCTCCTTTACCAAGTTCTCTGCAATTTCTAAAATGAAGATATTAGCTTTTTTGAGTGATGTTAGCTGCATGAGACACAGTGGATAAAAGGGAGCACTAAGGATAATGTATGTCTCTGTTGAACTTGCAGGTTCACCAGACTGATTCTGAAGCTTTGCCTCTTGTCAAATTCTCCTTGATATTCCTCCGCAAGTCCACTCTGTACAGATGCATGTTTCTACATTAGCCTAGTGGCTCAAGCCTCTCTGAAACCTGTAGTGCATGTTTCATCCTGGAAAAGCTGGTGCCTTTTCCTTCCTCAGACTTTCCAGAGTGACGTAAAGCCATGACTCTCATCTTCACTCTACAGATAAGGGAACACACTGGGAGAAAGGAGGATCCTGCCAAAGGTAATGTGAGACTATGTTATAGCTACTAAGATCCTGGGCTATATCTTTCCAGCACCAGTATCCATATCCTTCCATTTGCTCTGGTCTGTTATATTTAGTAGTGCAATTTTATGGTGTCTTAGAATACAACGAGAGTGAAGAAAGTCGATCTCAGTACTTAAATTCTTTCTATTCATTGTTTTTGGAAATTTTTCTTTCTGATTTTCAATGGATTTCTATATAACTTTAGCTTTATTAGTTTTTAGAAAGTATATTGTGTTGGTTTAATGGATATATTTCTGCCTGAGTAGATTCTCTACTGTCTCTGATATAATGCTAATAATATATGGTGGAGAGTTTGGACACTATCACTTGGCTAACAATACAATATGCCTAGGGCACATAGAAACTTAGAGCTCAAGAATCCTATTACCTTGAGGTAGAAAATAATGTTGGGATTCTTCTCAAATTTCAAGGGCTGACACAGGTCGTGTAAACACTGAGTATTGAGGTTCCATGTAAGTACTGTAATTTTCCAGATGAACTTCAAATGTTGTTTACCAGGTCTGGGTCTCTCTTTTCAGAAAGGACCAATCGTCACACAATCACCTTAATGCATATGGTGTGTTCAGTGAGTGGCCTGGTACTTCTTCCCATTGTATTGTAAGATGTAACATTTGGCCAGTTGTATCTCACTCACCTTTACATCCTCAGTCAGCCAGTTAAGCACCTATTTAAGCTCCAAGAGAATTGCATGAAGCTGAGCCATTTGAAGCAGCTTACCTCGTAGAGTGTGATAACACCATTGGTTTCATTGGGAGGTTTCCACTGGATGTAGATCTTTTCTTCAAAGGGTCCCCCTTGGATGGATTCAAGAGGAACAGCTCCTGGAACTACAGAAAGAAAAAGTATGAAAGGAAAGTATGTTATCATCCATGTCACTTCTCTAGTTCCACTGACCTAGAATAGAGTCTTGCAACATTTCTCTAGAAAATCAGATGTAAATATTTTAGGATTTACAGACCATGCTGTCTTTGCTGCAACTATTCAACTCTACCTTTTAAACACAAAATTGACTACAAAAAATACATAGGTGAGTGAATATTCCTGACCTCAAATAAAACATTCCTCAGTATAGACAGGGGGCCAGATCCGACTATGGGCCATAACTGGTGGACCCCTCTTTAGGCCCCAGGTTTGCTACCAAATGGGAACGTGGAATTAGGCTTTAGGATTCAGGGAAATATAGACTGAGTTTCACCATTGCGTGTCCAATTCTTATCTTCCTAGCAATGCCAAATTCTCTCCAACTTCAGTTTCCTAATTTCTGAATCCGAAGGAACCCTGTGTCCTGAAATTTCAATGCCTTTAGAAGACTGCCTTGCTCCAAGAAGGCAGCTAGCTTGTCTTGCTGCTGAGTCTGGCATGGTATTGTATGAATGACTTATGTCAGCATTTTGTCCTAATGAGCACAACTATTCCTGGTGCTGCTTCTCTAACAGGCCAGTATTCCTGTCACCCTCCTCCTGCTGGGTTCTACCATCCTTAGATCAGAAGGTGCTAAGCCAGAAGGCAAAAGATTCCCCAAACTTTCAGTTATAACCTTCTAGAGAATCACGAATTCATGTAAATCATTACCAGATCTATTTATATTTCAGCATTATAAAAGCAGGTACTTTTACTAAGCACTTACTCTTTGATCAGAATTTTACATACATTATTTCACTTAAGCCACAAAAGATTTCTGCCCAGTATGTATTATCTCCTTTGTGCTGATAAGGGAACTGAGACTGAGAGTATTAAATAACTTGCTCAAGGTCATATGGCTCTTAAATTGTAAAGAGGGAACTGAACACCTGTCTAGGAGCTTCAAAGCATATACTCTTAATCATTATGCTGTGCTTCGCTATATAAAACTCGGGCCATATGTTGCAATCAGTTCTCCATTGTTAAATTAAAATACATTTTGGTTTTTTTCCATCATAAGTACAATACACACAATTTGGAGAATATTAAGAGTATTAAAAAAAGAGGGAACAAAATCACTCATAATACCCACAGCCAAAGGTATTTTTGTAGTATTTTATGCATATATAATAAAACTTCCTATTTAAAAAATATAAAAGGTATCTATGCATACATGTTTTCAATTCTTTAGAAATATAAACCCTAGAATATATATTGCTCTGAGACACAATGTTTAAGTGTTCTTTAGGACCAGATGTTACAACAGCTACTAGAGAAGGACATCCCCATTATACTCATAGTAATCAATCCTGTATTAGTCCATACATGTAGTGCATTAAAGTTGGTTTGACTTCTTCATGATTATCAGTAACACTGGAATGAAAATTCTTATAGATATATTCATGCAAATTTAATGATGTCTTGAACATAAATTCGTGGAAATTAATTTACCAGGCAATACGAAACAAACTATTTTATTTTTAAGGTTTTTGACATGTATTACCAGATTGCCTTCTAGCAAGTTGGTACAAATCTGGACTTTCCAACAAAAGAATATGCCTAGTTCTGATCTCTGCCAACACTATTTAAAAAATTAAGTGCATGTACATATCATTTTTAGCCTACTGGAGAGCACAGATTTTTTTTTTCAGTTTAATTAGCCATTTGCATTGATTCTTTTAGGAACATGCTCTCTACACCCTGTGCTCATTTTCCCGTATGGCTCTTTATTTTTGCTCATCTTTGTCTTATGGGCTTGTAATTATAATCTCTTTGTAAAGTCTTCAGTTTCCTTTGTGAATAGTATGTGAACAATTTCTTTCAGTTTTTGTTTAAAAATCATTTAGGTATGTAAATGCCTTTAATTAGTCAAAACTCTTACTTTAGGTTCTCCTTTACTTACTCTCCCTCTCTGCAAACATTTCTTGAGTACTTAATATGTTTGAAGGATCATGGTGGACATTATAGATGCACCAATAATAAGAGAAACGCATTCAAAGTTTTATAAAACTTGTTCTCTGGGGAAGAAAGATTAAGTGATTATATCTGCAATTAATTTATTGAAGTTGCTGTCATAAATCTGAGATGAAAGCACATAGGAGTAATAGAATGTCAAGCAGAGAAAATGCAGCAGGCAAGTCAGGACAGAGTGGCAAGTAAGATACAGTTGATGGATAAGTAGCTGTTACAGGGCAAAAACAGGGAGCATTGGAGTGTGGATGGTAGCTTTTTGAGGTCAAGGGTAGAAAGAGGAAAGTCAGTTAGGGGTTGCTAGGATCATTCTTGGGAGAAAGAATGGTAGTGGACCATGGAGAGGGAGAGTGAAAGAGAAATGGGCTGTGTTGCAGATTTTAGTCACAGTAAAATAATGTAACTTGATGGTGCTGAGTAAAGATAAAGGAGGGGAGGTATGGGTCGTGGAGAGACCCAAACTTTTCTTGCTTCATACAACTGGAGGATCAGATTATTGTCCATAAAAGGCTGGCCATATTTGGAGAGGATTTTAGTGAGCTCATTTTTTGTCCTATTTCGTTTGAGGTGTACATAGAACCTTCCTGGGGGGGGGGGTAAAAATTGTTGAATATTGAAGCAACCTTGGAAAGTGAAACCGTGGTAAGACAATAGATAGTACAAGAAGAATACTGAGCAGAGTGGAAAAGGTCCCAGCTAAGAGGAACTTCAGTCTGAACAATAAAGAAGAAAACAAATGGAGAAATTGGGAGCTGGTATTCAGAGAGGTAACACGAAAAAGAGGAAGTTGAGCTGTGCTGTATGTGGAAGGGAGGACGAAGGTTCATTGAAAGACTGGTCAAGAGTAAAGATACGGCTGAGTAGTTAAGTAAGAGGCAGGCTTATTTTTGTCCACCGAACCCAGTGTCTTCAAGGCTATTTGTGACTCACACAAGAGTAATTTTGGAAATCACTTTGTTGCCATAGCCATCCTAGGAAAGACTGAGAAGGAAAAGGAAGGTGATGTGAGACAAGTCAACAACTTGGGCAAAGAGGAGGAGGAAGAAAATGCAAAAATAGCAGGCGTGTCGCGTGGAACCAAAGCAGAAGCAACCAGGGAAAATCCAAACCAGGAGGAAGAGATGGAAGAGTGGGAAAGAGAAGTGCTAACTGACATGGATACGGCCCTAAAAAGGCAAGAATAGGGGTGCTTGGAAACAAGGTCTCTGCTTCTGTGAGGGAGAATGAATATGTGCAGATACTTCTGAGGTAGGAGTTCAGGTTTCCTAAATGGTTCTATTTTCTTGAGAAGTGAGGATGAAGCCACATGCAAATGGTGTAGTGTTGGGTGGAAGACAAAAGTTAAGAAGCTTTGAGCTCTTAAAATTAGAAAGTGATCTGAACAGAGAGATGCACATGGTACTTTATCTATCTATGGTCCATCTGGCGGAGGTGGGGAGGGTCTGTCTAAAGGAAGCAGAGGAGAATCTACCTGATGGAGGTTACGATGGTGAGTCTCAAAACTGATAACATTACACGGCCTGATCTTTCTGGTTTAGAGTAAGTTCTCTTTCTCTTACCAGATCAGATAAATAGACAATATAGGTGGATAATCATTTTTGTGATTTATTTTATAACTTATTCTTATGTTTTCTTTTTACATCAAACATCATGCTCCGTCTGAAATTTATTTCCCATATTATACACAGTAGAAATCTAAATATAATTTTTTATAATTTTCTTAGGACAATTACTTGACGAGTCAGAATATTCCCTGGTAATTTAAAAAGCCATCTTATCATCATTTCAAGTTATTTTATTTCTGGAAATATATTGTGTGGCTTTCATTGAGCTGCAGCTTCACCATGACAATATCTCTGTATTGTGTGCAGATGACATGTTTTAATACTTAATAGAACAAGGTCTTTCCTTTCATTATTCTTCTTTCGAAAGTCTTCTGGGATTTGACTACTCATTTAATTTTCCTGAACTTTAGAATAATTTAACAAAATTTCAAAACTATTGTATCTGAATTATTATTGCAGTTGCATTTTTCCATTCTTTTGGGGCCAAAGAATGTCTCTGTATAACCATGAATGGTTCTACTCAGTAATATTGCATTAATCTTCATTTATTAATGCTTCTTTTTTTCCCTGTGGTTAAAAATATGAAGAGTTTTTGTTGTTTCTTACAAATTGCATTTCTAAGACTTTATTACTTTGCTTCTACTGTTTTTGCATTATATTAAAAAGTTCCTCTTATAATGTTTTGCATGATATTAAAAAGTATATGTCATTATGTAGAGTTTTAAAGGATAATTATGAAGTATACTCATTATGTGCTCTAAGAAATAAGACCTTTGTGATATTGAAGCATTATTATTGACTCCTTCTTCTTCTTCTTCTTCTTTCCCTGTTACTATAGTTTACAACTAAATGTGCCCCCAAAGCCTCAGGTGCTCGTAGGTGGGGCTTCAGCAGGTAACTGAATCAAGGGAGTGTGATACACATCAGCGGATTAGCCCACTGATGTGTTTATATCATGATGTGATTTGGTGAGAGAAAAATCCTGGTCAAAAGAGGTGATGCATGGCCTTGAAGATCTGTCTGCCTCCCTCCTTCTCTGATCTCTTCCTCTGTTTCCTGCCATGCCATGAGTAACCCTCCTCTGCCATGTCCCTCTGTCACACTGCCCAGCCTTGGAATCAGCTGAGTATGGACTGAAACCTCTACAAGCCATGAGATAAAACAAACCTTTTCTCCTTTAAGTTGTAGGTGTTGGGTATTGTATCTTTGACAAAAAAGTGGCTACAACACACATCAACAAAAAACCAAGTACTACACTGTATTTCATGTTACTCACTCTTAATCTTAATTGTACTTACAAGTATACACAGCTACCCCAAGACAACATATGGTTTAGTTTTTCCAGGTTTTCTTTATATACATGTGGATTTTCTTGATACATGCCTAGAGTG